CTCATAAAAATCCTCAGGATGTTGCGAGGAAGGCGAAACCGCAACAGAAACAGTCAAAGGCAGAGGTTATTGTCGTTAGCCCTGATGCAATTGAGAAAAGCTGCAAAACACGGCAGATAAGAGGGTCCAAGACTTTTACCGCAACCTTAAGAGCTCGAAGCAAGGTAATTTAATTCAAATCTGAGCTTTGCCATGTTCGCGATGATCTAAGAATCTTGCTCTCTTTTATTGTTCGGAGAAGGCTGCGAGTGGACTCAAGGATGATGGTGTGATTGACATCGATGCTCAGGATGCTGGCAACGAACTGGCTGCTGTGGAATACGTAGACGACATGTTCACGTTTTACAAGGATGTAGAGGAGGAAGGGAGAATCAGAGACTATATGGGATCACAGCCTGAAATAAATGTGGAGATGAGATCGATTCTTATTGATTGGCTTATTGACGTCCACAGAAAGTTTGAGCTGATGCCAGAGACGCTTTACCTCACCATTAACCTCATTGACAGATTTCTTTCTTTCAAAGTGGTCCCTAGAAGAGAGCTTCAGCTGTTAGGAATAAGCGCCATGCTTATAGCCTGCAAGTACGAGGAGATTTGGGCTCCTGAGGTTAACGATTTCGTCTGCATCTCGGATAATGCCTATTGCAGAGAACAAATCCTGGCTATGGAGAAGTCAATCTTAGGACAAGTCGAATGGTGCATCACTGTTCCAACGCCTTTTGTGTTCCTTGCGCGCTATGTTAAAGCTTCGGCTCCATGTGACATGGAGATGGAGAAACTGGTATTCTACCTGGCTGAGCTGGGACTTATGCAATGTCCCATACTTGTCTTAAACCGTCCATCGATGCTGGCTGCTTCAGCGGTTTATGCTGCACGCCAAACCCTTAAAAAGACACCATTTTGGACTGAGACTTTGAAACATCACACTGGCTACTTGGAAGATGACATAATGTAAGCTAATCTATCCCCAATTTATGCTATTCAGTTTCATCTTCAAATCAAATTAACATGGTTTGATTTTGTCAGGGAGGTCGCCAAAATGCTGATGAGGTTAAGGGACTCGGCTTCAGAAAGTACGCTAAGAGCAGTATTCAAGAAATACTGCGTCTCAGAAAACGCTGAAGTTGCTCTTCTCTGTTCGTTAGATTATTTATCCGTCTCTTGTTCATGAGCCCTAATCTTGTTGATCATGTAGCTGTGATGATCTTTGTGTTAACTATGTGTACTTCCCTTTTCTTTGTTTGGTTTTACAATATTGGAACCTCTGTAACCTTATGAACCAGATTATTGTTTTAGCTTTTCATTTATCTTCAGTTTCTCTTCGATTCCTCCAATTGAGTTTGAATATTTTATGGATATGAATTGTTTCTATTCCTTTTGTCATAGTTCTTTCGTTTCTTTTGTTATTAGTTCTCTTCTTTAAAATAACAAGTGTTGAGACAACAAGCCATCTGTTATATTCCTCAAGTGTCAAGTAAGATTCGCAACAAAACAAGCCAGCCGTTATATAGAGATTCAACATCACTGATTCTTTCATTTTTTTACACACAACAGACAAGAACTGCAATTCCAACAAATGCCTAAACCCTATAAACTACAAAACAAAAAGCTCTTACGGATACACTTAATCACAACTTAGTTAGGAGCCGTCTCTGTTCTGTCTTCTGGGCCGGCAAGCGTCACCTGCAACACATCAGTTTCATACTCAGAATCAACACCTTCTACAAACGCATAGTTTCCATCTCCATTTTCATTGACAAGGGAAACAAATGCTACTTACATTGCAATCACAAGCAAATCTGCGTGCAAGCATGATCGCAGCATTTCTTTCTCTCTCTGACTCGAAAGCTACGACAAAGGACACCCCTTTCTTTGCCTGCCAATACAATGCTTGAGCTGCGGCATTTCCACCTCCTCTCACTCCACATAGCTGCTCAACATGATGAAAGATTATGACTTTCAGGTCCCTTCGAAGATGTCGCTTTAGGAGAGAAAAGAGTAGAGGCAGGCATCGCTTACCTGCATTGCACTAGAGTAGTACTCTTTTGCAATCACCGTCTTTCCCTTGCAAAGTTTTATCCTCATTTTACCAACGTGAAACAAGTGGATAGATTCTGATGTATGGTCTTCCCCACTCATCTGGGTCACAACTACCTGTCAATTACAACATGGGGAACTATAATATATATTTACTAGTGCAACATACTCTTATAAAGCTACTAATTCCAAGCCACCCTACGTATGGTATATTCATATATGTATATATCATTAGCTTGAGAGAAATCTTACATTAAAATCAACATCGTGTTTCCGTACTAATGCCTCGACGTAGCTACCCAATCCAGCAGCTGCACATATCAGGACTTTTTTGAGTTTTTTTTCTTTCTCATCAAGTAATGATGAAATCAGTACCGTTTTCATTGATTTGTCATATTTAATTTTTTCATGAAGATAATAAGGCATTTGATATAGTTTCTTGCCTTTTTTCTTAGGGTAAGTAGTGGTAACAATATATTATAAAGATAATAATATCTACTAAGCAACACAACCTACACAAATCATTTGATCACGTCGACATAAACAAGAACCCTTTCCAGAGAATAACATAACAACAAACCTGGATCAATCTTTCCCACTGTGGATAATGAAAGCAAATGGCCATCGTTAATGATATCCACGTGCAAGGCTCGTCCAACGTCAAAAGGCTCAGGAGCGTAAACTGATTTTGTAGCACCTGAGATAGGAACATAGTTAGGAAATATTTTTCCCCAATCAAGAGAACAATGTCCAACTTGGTTTGGCTCTAATTACACCAGTGGTGTAAGCGATCGTTCCTGATCTCCAAATCATTAGATGTAAGAAACAACCTAAAATATATTTATGAGCTTTCAGAACAGACCCAGAGCCTTTTAGAATTTGAATTCAATTAGGAAAAGCTCACCAGTTTATGTAATCATATATGTGGATAAAATATTTACACAATTCAAGGAAGAAAATGCAAAAGGTGAGGGGACCTGATATAAGCTCCTTCTTGCTGCCATCAGCAGATGTGCGATACCATTGCATCATACACTTGGAAAGATCAGGACCATCATCAGAGCAAGGTCTGACCCGCAAACAAGAACCTAGAGCTTCAGTGCCATCTATTTCATATATACGAGATATATTTTCCTCGCTCGTTCTGCACATTGCAAGCTGAATAATAGAGATGTGTGATCCAGTATCAGAATGCATCTCTTTGTCAACCACATAACAGTCAAAAGAACCTGGAATGCACTAATTATATATGTATATATGGAATATCGAATCTAAGTAACCTTCTTTTGTAGTTGAAGAAAATGTTTAGATTTCTCTGCAAGCTGATTCCTTAGTGCTCGAAGCTCATATTCCATGTCCATTACCTAAACAATGCACATAATTTGACCTATCAAAAACAAGACAAGATACTACAAAAGCATCGGCTTAGACAGACAGACCAGGCCATTTTAACCCCACATAGAAACCATCTTTCATCTACCTACCTTGCTTGGCTGATGCAGCATCTTAATCCGCCTAGCTTCTTGAACTTCCTTCATCAAAGCTTCCATGTCCTAATATAAAATAGTAAACAATACTATGTTTACATAGGTTATATACTTGACAGGACAATGGGACAAGAAGCTGGTTTACATGTGCAAAAGTGAAATCAGCATAAGCTGGAGATATCCTCACTGGTACATGAATCAACATTATAAGCTTATGACATTTACTAGATTATGATAGAAGTCATCACTAACCTGCTTCCCAGAAGCCCTAGACATCTGTTCATGTTCTCGCAGGGCTTCTTCCACTCTTTGTACAGCTGCTCTTGCACTTTCAATCTCAGCACGCGCAAAAGCTCTTTCCTCGTCGACTAGTTTCTTAGCATCCTCTGACGCCTAATTAAATAATCCCACCACTAATCAGCAAGAAAATAAGAACACATGTGCATACTTTTTAAGACAAAATGGTAACCACTAATTGACAACGGACAACAGAAGAATAGTACAGATGAGAAACCAAAGAACTTCATTTCCCATGAAGTACTAGAAAATGAACTGAGAATTGGAAATGGAAAGATAATGTATGTAATGAACTACTCAAATGAAAACAAAAAAGGACAGCCTCTCTCCATCATTTGACTACTTCAAGTGCAATTTCAGAAGACCTGGTTGTTTCAGGTGAAAATGACATAGACGTCTCCTAACTATTCACCTCAAGAGGTACGAGAAAAGAAAATATGTCACCATCTCAAAGAGCACGCTTTACCTGCTTCAAAAAAGTTGCCAGCTTCTTCACTTCCGCTTTTTCTATGAACAGCTCTCCTTCTCGCTGAGTCAACTGAACAGCTAGAGCTTCAACCTAGCAGAGACCACAAATTCGAAACATACTTAATTAAAAAATAGAGGAATGCGGAAAAATAAGTTGGTGGTGGGCATGCAAGATATCACCCACAAAAGGTAAGAAAAAACATTTCTGTTTTCAGAAAGGCTAGCGGGTAAATATATCACCCACGTAAAGTACCAGAGCTACATATCATTGATGGCTAAGAGAACTGAGGGTTAGATTGCAAGAGAACGATTCCTTAAATACAAGGGAGTGACTAACCATGGCAATGGCTTCCTCTACATCATCCTTGTTTCTACCTGCCACACGTCCTCTTAGAGACTCCAATGCATCTCGAAGTTTCTTTAGAAGAACATGTTTCTCCAAAGAAGTTGCTTCTTTGAGTTTTGCCTGCGCAAAATAACCAACTTAGCTTAAGAAATTCTTTCAATTATCATATCTTCACTTAAGCTGGACTTAGATTTGCCTTCTTGATCCCCTGTATTTATAACAAAATCGCTTTTTGGCTCCTAACAAGATATAAAAAATTAGGATTAGAGCATATGAGACCTCCTCGGATAGCTTAGCAGCTGCAGCCAAGCCCTTCTCAAATTTATTGGCTAGGTCACGAACAGACATACGCTTTTGCTGGTCCAAGAGCTGCGCTGTCTCACGCGCAACAACCTCTTTCATAGATAGCACTTTGGGGTCATCTTTCACATCAAATATCTGATCATTAGCCCCAATTCTATAACTAGGAAATCTACTTGTAGCGAATTTCGCATCTGCTGATACTCCTGGAACAACATCTTTGTGCAATGAATCCCGGAAATCGCGTGTAACTCTCGTCATCGTGTCTGTTTACAAACAAAAACGAAAATGCTTAGACCACTTGGACTAGAAATATGCTCCAAAGGGGCTTGTAGATCTGTCCGAGAATATCCAGAAAAATCTGAAATACAAAAGAACAAAAAAAACAATAATGGGAATCCTTCTCAAAACGAAGAAACTCTAGTGAATGTCGGATAATAACAATAGATTTCACCAAGTCATCGTCATACAGAGAAAATCAGACAAAGAGTCGTAGGAAGTCAAAACCCTAGATCACCAAGCGAAGAACCCATACCAATTTTAGTAACAAAACCCAAAGAAGAGATTGAAAGTATAATTGGTGGTAGATTTCCGGAACATGAAACCCCAAAAGCAGAACCCAAAACAGTGCCGGAAAAAACCATAATCCGAACAATGCCGCAACGGATTTCAAGAGATGGGTAGTAAAGACACCTTACCCGGGTCCGGTCCGATTGTGTTGAAATCGGATACGAGAAGATTGCCGTTGTCGGAAATACGAGGAGGAAGATTGGATTGAGGAGAAGAAGAAAAAGTGAGGTTTGATAGAGTCGTAAGCATCAGCTTTACTGAAAAGCAACGACCGTGAAAAAAATTTGTCGTTGTGGTGGAAATAATGTGTTTTTTTCTTTAAAAGTTTCTTGTTCAGACAA